AATCAGTCATCTCCACTGAGCAGACTTTTATTGTGAGCTTGCACAAGCAACGTGGCTCGATGATATACTGCTTAAATTGACTTCTGCCTGGCTCTGATCACTTTCAAATTTTGAAGGGCTTTTGAAGAATAGATTCTTTGGTAGCTGTCTACAATAATGATTCACAAAGGTATGCTGTCACTTATAGGGGAAAAATGAAGCTGTGCTAAATTGTTACTACTCAAAACTAAATACCAAGAGCTGAAGTACTAGGACCCTGGAGATTCACACAATAGTTTCTTGTTGCTTTCTAAAGCGATTCATAGATGCCTACTTCATTCTTAAATAGAACCATGAGGCCAACACATCCATAAGAAAACCCCTTTTATTTAGCCCAGTGATGTGTTGCCTGGAAACTTGAATGCAAAATACTAACATCAGCTAGGGCTGTGAAATTACTACATCTCTTCTGATTCTCCCATTTAAGGTTATTCACAAAATCACTGCTCTCGTTTTTTCCTCATTTCCTTTTCTATACAAAACTCCTCCCTAACCTTTACCTTTGTAAACACTCTTCTCTTTAAGCCTTCTGTACATAACGGCCCTTGAGCTTGTAGCTCCCTTCTTCCTTCCACCAATGAGTGACCCTCTCTTCACTCAACTGCCTCCTTAAGACCACCAATAATACAAATCAGCAATCCTAATACAAACAGCTATCATCCTCTGTACACGACCCAACACTAAAAAAAGCCATCATGCTGCATTCAGATCTAACATTGTTCTGATAATCTGGTGTGTAACATCCTTAAACCATTCTGTTTAATTGTTACTTCCCTGAGGCAGGGACAGTGCTTTCCTCTATATTTTGTACAGCACCAAGCATATCAATGATACCCAATGAAACAGCAACAACGTATTTTCTCTCTTTCACACATCAATCTTTCACTTTCTTTCTTCACCCATCAATTTCATCTCCCTTTTACTGCCACTTCAGTTCTCACTGAGAAAGCACCTCACTCCAAAGATGATGCCATTCCCCATCAGTCACTCTCCATACTTAAAAGCAATGATCTATACCTCACTACATTATGACAAAATGTACACTATTCCAATCTAGGACATATTCAGACCTCACCAGATTAATGCATGAGTGCCCAAAACTGAATGACCTCACTACACACTAAGCGGTGGGGACCTTTGTCAGGTTTGGCAGAGAAGGTGAGCTGCCCCTTTAAAGGCAGCTAGAGAGCCAGTGAGTTACCTCTAACACAGAGGTAGCCCCATTCCAGGTCAGCATGGGGACACTGACCCATCCCCCCTGCAGGTGACCAGAAGAGAGGGGGAATATTTATGCCCACATCTGAGCAGTGAAAGCCCTCTTTTCACCTGGTCAGGTTAAGCAGCACCCATCCTCTCATCCATGAAAGTATTATTATCCACTGTGGGCATGACATTAGTTGCTCCTTTCTCAGGGGGCTGGGAAGGAATTTTTCCCTTACCACCAGATTGGCCAACATAAAGGTAGGTTTTTTCACCTTTGCCCACAGTGGATAGGAGGCTTGAAGGAGAAAAGAACAAAAGGGGAGTTAGGCTATGATGCTGCAAATCATTATGTAAACTTGGGGCAGATATCCAGCGCAGGTACTCTGCAGGGAATTGATAGTGATCAGATTAAACCCTTTCCTAATCCATTTAAAGGAGGTATTATTTTATGGAGTGGGAACAGTGGGAGGGGTGAAGGGATTCATAGATATTTAGGTCAGAAGGGACCATTATGATCATCTTGTCTGACCTCCTGCACAACGCAGGCCACAGAATTTCACCCACCACTCCTGCAAAAAACCTCACACCTTTATCTGTGCTATTGAAGTCCTCAAATCGTAGTTTAAAGACTTCAAGGAGCAGAGAATCCTCCAGCAAGTGACCCATGCCCCATGCTACAGAGGAAGGCGAAAAACCTCCAGGGCCTCTTCCAATCTGCCCTGGAGGAAAATTCCTTCCCGACCCCAAATATGGTGATCAGCTAAACCCTGAGCATATGGGCAAGATTCACCAGCCAGATACTACAGAAAATTCTTTCCTGGGTAACTCGGATCCCACCCCATCTAATAGCCCATCACAGGCCACTGAGCCTATTTACCATGAATATTTAATTTCCAAAACCATGTTATCCCATCATACCATCTCCTCCATAAACTTATTGAGTTTAATCTTAAAGCCGGATAGATCTTTTGCCCCCACTGCTTCCCTTGGAAGGCTATTCCAAAACTTCACTCCTCTGATGGTTAGAAATTAGACGAAGGTTTCTAGTCTAAATTTCCTGGTGGCCAGTTTATATCCATTTGTTCTTGTGTCCACACTGGTACTGAGCTTAAATAATTCCTCTCCCTCTCCAGTATTTATCCCTCTGATATATTTATAGAGAGCAATCATATCTCCCCTCAACCTTCTTTTAGTTAAGCTAAACAAGCCAAGCTCCTTGAGTCTCCTTTCATAAGACAAGTTTTCCATTCCTCGGATCATCCTAGTAGCCCTTCTCTGTAACTGTTCCAGTTTGAATTCATCCTTCTTAAACATAGAAGACCAGAACTGCACACAGTATTCCAGGTGAGGTCTCACCAGTGCCTTGTATAACGGTACTAAAACCTCCTTATCCCTACTGGAAATACCTCTCCTGATGCATCCCAAGACCGCATTAGCTTTTTTCACGGCCATATCACATTGGCAGCTCATAGTCATCCTATGATCAACCAATACTCCAAGGTCCTTTTCCTCCTCCGTTACTTCTAATTGATGCGTCCCTAGCTTATAACTAAAATTCTTGTTATTAATCCCTAAATGCATGACCTTACACTTCTCACTATTAAATTTCATCCTATTACTATTACTCCAGTTTACAAGGTCATCCAGATCCTCCTGTAGGATATCCCTGTCCTTCTCTAAATTGGCAATACTTCCCAGCTTTGTATCATCCGCAAACTTTATTAGCACACTCCCACTTTTTGTGCCAAGGTCTCAATAAAAAGGTCAATAAAAAGATTAAATAAGATTGGTCCCAAAACCGATCCTTGAGGAACTCTACTGGTAACCTCCCTCCAACCTGACAGTTCACCTTTCAGTAGGACCCGTTGTAGTCTCCCCTTTAACCAATTCCTTATCCACCTTTCAATTTTCCTATTGATCCCCATCTTATCCAATTTAACTAATAATTCCCCATGTGGCACGGTATCAAATGCCTTACTAAAATCTAGGTAAATTAAACCCACTGGTCACGCAATTACAGACATGAAGGTCGCTATCTTACAACAAAAAAAAACTTCAAATCCAGACTCCAGCGAGGAACTGCTGAATTGGAATTCATTTGCAAATTGGATACTATTAATTTAGGCTTAAATAGAGACTGGGAGTGGCTAAGTCATTATGCAAGGTAGTCTATTTCCTCTTGTTTTTTTGTTTTTTCCTACCCCCTCCCCCTCCAGATGTTCTGGTTAAACTTGGATTTATGCTGGAAATGGCCCACCTTGATTATCATATGCATTGTAAGGAGAGTGGTCAGTTTGGATGAGCTATTGCCAGCAGGAGAGTGAGTTTGTGTGGGGGAGAGAGTGAGAAAACCTGGATTTGTGCTGGAAATGGCCCAACTTGATTACCATACACATTGTAAAGAGAGTGGTCACTTTGGATGGGCTATTAGCAGCAGGAGAGTGAGTTTGTGTGGGGGGGGAGGGGAGGCGGAGGGTGAGAAAACCTGGATTTGTGCTGGAAATGGCCCAACTTGATTATCATACACATTGTAAGGAGAGTGATCACTTTAGATAAGCTATTACCAGCAGGAGAGTGGGGTGGGAGGAGGTATTGTTTCGTGGTCTCTGTGTATATAATATCTTCTGCAGTTTCCACAGTATGCATCCGATGAAGTGAGCTGTAGCTCACGAAAGCTTATGCTCAAATAAATTGGTTAGTCTCTAAGGTGCCACAAGTACTCCTTTTCTTTTTGCGAATACAGACTAACACGGCTGTTACTCTGAAACCTAAATCCACTGCGTTTCCTTTGTCTAAAAAATCTGTTACTTTCTCAAAGAAGGAGATCAGGTAGGTTTGGCACGATCTACCTTTTATAAAACCATGTTGTATTTTGTCCCATTTACCATTGACTTCAATGTCCTTAACTACCTTCTCCTTCAAAATTTTTTCCAAGACCTTGCATACTACATATGTCAAATTAACAGGCCTATAATTACCTGGATCACTTTTTTTCCCTCTTAAAAATAGGAACTATGTTAGCAATTCTCCAATCATACGGTACAACCCCTGAGTTTACAGATTCATTAAAAATTCTTGCTAATGGGCTTGCAATTTCAGGTGCCAATTCCTTTAATATTCTTGGATGAAGATTATCTGGGCCCCCCGATTTAGTCCCATTAAGCTATTTGAGTTTCACTTCCACCTCAAATATGGTAATGTCTACCTCCAGATCCTCATTCCCATTGGGGAATTGGGGCTCCTATGACTGGTATGGCAGGGAGTCAGCTCCACCTCCTTTATATACTCTTTGATTCTCATTCAAGGGGGGAGGGGACGAAGGTAACAAGGTCCCAGCAATGTCTTAGCTGGGGATCAGTATGAGTAAGGGGGAGGGCTGCCAGCAGCCCCCCCCCAGATATATGTAAATAATTATGGAATTACCTGCACTGTGCAGTTTTATCTGGCAGGTACTCCCAGACACTTAGTAATAAAGTTGCGGCCTAATTAAACACATCCAGTGTCGCCTGTCGTCCTTCTGGCACACCTGGACAACAACAATTCAAGTCTGAGCTTCAGGTGACAGCACCAAGAAAGGCATCTGTTCTTTCCTCTTTTAAAAAATAGATATGTGATACAACATGAGTAAAAGCAAACAAAATATTATAGTTATTTATATTTTCATAGGCGGTGCCAATTTTTTTATCTTCAGTATATTCATGTTATATGATGGCAGTCCTAAAAGAAACCACAATTACTTATTTAATATTTATACATACTTGTAGCTCTCAACTTGTTGACAGGAAGAGACTGTAATGAAGGAATCCGTTCGAGAGCTGTAAGTTAACGGACCAGGCAGAAGAAAACTAGGTAGAAATCGGCCAAAAGCATAGCTTTCCTGTTCAAACAACATAAGCATGCCATCCATGGACTGTATGCATATCAAATCTCGACCTAAAAGAAAAGGAAACAAAGCACGGTTAATCACATATTAGATTTTTATGAAAATATACAGGCCTGAATTCTCATTTACACTAAATGTATGTGAATACTAATTTACTATATTGGCAGCATCAAGGGGCTTTAAAGTAGGCATAAATGTAATTTACTCCCACTTTAAGGCTCCTTTACACTGCCAATGACCTTAGAGTAACTGAAAATCAGGCCCAGCTTATTTACAGAAATTAACAATGAAGTTACACTACAGTTAGATATAAACAACACAGAACAGCTGTGACCCACACACTAAACAAAGAGGAGGTGAAATACTGGCCCCATTGAAGTCATTTGTAAAACTCTCATTGACTTCAGTGGAGCCAGGATTCCACTCAAAATGTTCAAAGTTGAGGCTGAAACTCCATTAGCATTATTTATATGAGGCTAGTGTTCAAAGGTCCAGTCAGAGACCCATTGTGTCGAGTTCTGTATAAAGTTAAAAGAAGATACAGACCCTGTCCTGAAGAACTTACATGCGAAATAGACTAGATAGACAAAGCATAGGGGAAAGGGAAACAATACACGAGTAACATGATGGGGTGATGGTTGACGTACTTTATGTTAGTTCTACTTTATTTTATTTTTAAATATATATTATAGGGGCAGAGGAAGTCACAAGGGGATCAGTTAACAGAGTAAGAGATTATGTAATAAAGAAAGGAAACTGGATAGGGAAAGGAAAAGTGGCAATGAGAACAATGCTGGTAGCAAAGAGATAGCGAAGGAAGGAAGAGCAAACAGTGAATCTTGGCAGAGAGAAGAAAATATCCATAATGCATATAGAGAAAAAGGCACATCCAATGTCTTCACAGGGGTCCAAGCTGTGAAAATCACTCTGCAAATGGAGAATGGGTGGTTCCCACCTGCCTCTACCTCAAGGAGTGCTGCTCTCACCACCCCGGAAAGCTATTTGGCATATGGTACCCCATGAAGTGGGAGAATCCCCCTCCATTTTCAGACAATGCCTGGAAGAAGTTACTCCCTGCTTTAGTGCCCTACACACCATCCCAAACTCTTGCTAGGGAGTGGGGGAAGGAAATTCCTGACAATTCCCAGAAGCACTGCTCATCCTATTCCCCACCTGTTCTTCCCATAAAATAATTTAACCCACAAGTAAACTGATGCGACTTGAAGGACATCTGTACTTTGCATTTCATTGATTTTGCCAGTTTGGCTCACAAACCTATTACTTAAACAGATTTTTTTTAATGTATAAATAATCCTCTAGAACAAAGAAAACTAAACCCTCCAAAAATTGTAAAAACATTATTTGCTAAAACTAAAACTAGTTAACTGTTTCCTTTCTTACGTAAATAACAATACATTAAGAGAAACCAAAAGATAGCAAAAAAATGAGTTTTCTGATTTGATTAAGTTAATATTCTAATTTAACTGAGGGAACACAATTATTAAAATAAAATAAAATAAAATAAAATGACCCTAAGATCAAATTGTTAAATCTATCATGTCATTTCAGGTATTTTAAACGGTCTAAAATAGAAATCATCATGAAAACAATGTTAATATTATAGCGATTACATTTTCCCATTGCTTTTATCCTACCTTTATTTTATATTTTTAAACGAGGATTAAAAAATATTAAGTCTGTAGTGAGGCGTTAAAAATACTTGTCAATACTGAAATCAAGAATTCAGCTACAATAGCAGCAAGATCCTACTGGTCACATGTCGATTTCAATTACATGGATATAAATTCAGAGCAATAACTTTGAAGTCAACTGAGATCAGAATCAGGTTGTGGATTTAGCATTACATAAAGGAGAACATTAATTCAAATGTGCACATAGTTTTTAGCACCCATTCATACAAAGAAATCCACAAAAAAGGGCCCAATCAAACACACACTGAAATCTATGAAAATATTAAAGCCAATTGTGACAAAGTTCGTCCTCTACCTTGGTGGGTCTTGCACTTCTTGGCAGATTTGCTCGCCTTGGAGCTTCATGGCAGCCCTCAGCTTGGCCGTTTTTCTGAACCCACAGTTCAGGTCTGACCAGGAGTTGGGAGGTTTGGGGGAACCCGGGCCCGTCCTCTACTCCAGGTTCCAGCCCAGGGCCCTGTGGAATGCAGCTGTCTAGAGTGCCTCCTAGAAGAGCTGTGCAACAGCTACAACTCCCTGGGCTACTTCCCCAGGGCCTCCTCCCAACACCTTCTTTATTCTCACCATAAGACCTTCCTCCTGGTGTCTGATAATGCTTGTACTCCTCAGTCCTCCAACAGTCCGTGTTCTCACTCTCAGCTCTTAGTGCCTCTTGCTCACAGCTCCTCACACACGCACCATAAACTAAAGTGAGATCCTTTTTAAACCCAGGTGCCCCAATTAGCCTGCCTTAATTGATTCTAACAGCTTCTTGATTGGCTTCAGGTGTTCTAATCAGCCTGTCTTAACTGTCTCCAGAAGGCTCCTGATTTTTCTGGAACCTTCCCTGTTACCTTACCCAGGGAAAAAGGACCTACTTAACCTGGAGATAATATCTCTGCCTTCTATTACTCTCCTATAGCCATCTGCCCCGACCCTGTCGCACAATGTAAGTAGGTATTGGATCAAGCCCCTATCCTGCAAACATGTAAGTAAATAGTGTCATTTATTTCAACAAGACTACTCACATGCAAAGTTATTCACATCTGCAAGTGTCTGTGGGATTATAGCCTATGCATGCAGGACTAAAACAGGATCTTGATTTAAAGAGAAAAAAAACTACTTCCTCTTTGATGTCCTCCCCTCAGACCCTACTCCTCTAATATAGGGCCTCAGATATAGGCAACAACAAAAAAAAATCATGTCTTTTTCCCACTTAGACAAGTATTGTTATATAAGCTCACAGAGGCAACAGTTCAATATATGGCAACACTGGAGGTAAAATACATATGGAAAAATTATCTCCTTGTATTCTGATTCTTCAGAGAAATTATTAGAGGCATATCAATGGTTATTTAAAAAGAAGCAGAGCATGCTAAGTAGTTAATGGGTTAATAGTTCACCTAAATTACTAATACATTACTACTTGATCTTTGACCTCCTGATTAAAAAAAGAGAATCAGTATTCTCTCCCCCAAGACTTGGATCACTAGGGTAAAAACTCTGAATCTGATGGCAAGTCGTCAGAGGCAGGTAAGGGGAGCAGAAGGTAAATAGCTACACTGGATCCCTTTTTTCCCCCCTTTTGTGACTGCCCATTCTATACTACTCTCAAAATGGTCCCTTCATCCTTCCCACCAAGAAGATCTGTACATAATTCATTCAATTCCCATTATCACTGCTGCACACATTTGATGGGGAGGACAGTCAAGAATGAAATACGGTCTTGTTCTTTTCCCAGAGGTTGAGCTCAGTGCTTCTCAACCTCCTAAGAAACAAGGGAACCAAACTGCAGTACTTCATAGGGAAGCACACTGGTGCTACTAGATAGATAGGCACAACTTTTTTTTAAATTAATGTAATTTTAGGGGGGATCATGATAGGATTTCAACCAAATCTGAACTATTGCAATGGCCTATTTACCCTAAATATAGATTTCTAAATAAAAAAAATTTTATTCAAGCAGAAGTTCTCTCTTTTCTTATCAGAGGGGTAGCCATATTAGTCTGTATCCACAAAAATAACGAGGAGTCCGGTGGCACCTTAAAGTCTTTAAGGTGCCAACGGACTCCTCATTGTCTCTTTTCTTAAAACCATAAACCTAAGATCTGTCTTGTATTTAACACAACATATTTTGGGGGGATGATTTACTGACTGCTGATGCAAAACATATTTGTCTTATACCAACTGTTTTAATAAGGCAGCAACAGCACTCTGGTTTAACAAAATCATAAATCAACATATAGAGAATAATTTTCCTCAACCTTAGAAAAACCCCATATCCCTTATTAAACATGAAACAGAGCAAAATAGTCCATTAATCAAGAGGTCTATGATGGCTTCTAAAGGAAATTTAGCTAAGCTAACAATGAAAACCAATCTTCTCAAGTTAAATCATGCTAGGATCTGTACAGATCACCTATATTTTGTACAAAAGCATCTGTAACATGGAAATCATTAGAGCAATGTTCAAAAGCTCTCAGACTAACATTCTGCCAGCTACTGAAGTAAGCCAAACTAATGCCTTTCTTTACAACTGCAAGCGATAAAGACACAATATATCATACCATTTAAGCTATTGGCTGCAAGGTTCACTGACAACTTCAAGTTGATGATTTGGTCCCATCAGGTTTAATCTATAGTATATTAAAGTTTGTTTTAGGTTTCCAAACGGTCGTACTACATTAATCTTTCCTGTTACTTTAGTAGATAAGAGTCACACACCTTTTTAGGAAATGTGAATTCTTTAATTCTGTTAACAGTTTGAAGTCAATGAACAAATGCTTCCTATTAGTAAATTCAATAATTTTAATAGAATTACGGTATGTGTTTAACATGTAAAAGCCTGATAGCATTTTCCAAAAAGTACAATTGTTTTTGCGTTATGAATTTCCTCAGGTTTTCTTACACTGAAACACATGTTTTTTAAATTATAAAGCAGGGTCTATGGCTTCTGTTCAAATCTAGATTTTATTGTTTATAAAATTAGAAACATATTTTATATTGTACACATTATATATGCATACACACACACACACACACCCCGTATGTGGACAGCCAAGAAGTTTCTTTTGAAATTGTGTATGAAGTGGCTTTATTAAAAAGCCTTTCCAGTTACTTAACCTCTTAAAATACTATTTATATGGCTCAAAAGATCAAACACTTCATTTTATGATTTATTCATAATAATTTGTCACTCATATTCTGAGGTATGTGGTACTCAAAGGGTTAAGTCAACCAAACTGATCACTGATCATAGTTGATAAGCATTTGGTTCATTGTTTAAAGGTCGAGAAGCTCTGAAGCATTAGCCAAGATCAGAGCAGATGATTTCAACAACATATGATTCAAAATGAAAA